CTTAATGAGTTATACAGGTTATTAGTAGCCTAATCCCTGTTTCCTCTCTACTTCTCCTCACTCCTCAGTGCCAGGCCTGGCTATTATTCTGCTGCGTGATACTGCGGAAGAACTGAAGAAGGCATGGTTTGATCTTCGGCTGACCAATCAGCAGAAAGGGGCGTTTAATTCCCGCCCACGTGTAGAAATCGAATATTCAAACTGTTTATTAATTTTTCCACCCATGAACGAAAAAAGGAAATTTAAGCTGATTTCTCGTTTTTCGTTTTTTTGGAAAAAAACAAAAAGACCAAAAAGGAGCCGTTTTCTCATTTTTCTACTTTCAATATTAAATAAAAAAACTAATGATCGAATGATACACGGATTGGTACAGTCCGTGTACCTATGTATAATTTGTTTTTTAATTGAATATTGAAATATGAAAAATTTTAAAAACGGCACATTTTTCGAATCAAGAATTCGGCTTCATTTTTTGTTTTTACGTTCAGGGAAAGAAAATGAATAAACAAATTGAATTTTTTCGATCTCTACCTGTGGGCGGGAGTGAAACGCCCCTCTCCGCTGATTGGTCAACCAAACATTACAACATAATAATAGTCCTTAAAAACGCCGTTTTCTCATTTTTCTACTTTCAATATTAAATAAAAAAACTAATGATCGAATGATACACGGATTGTATTTGCAGCGCGTTTCTGTATTTGTTTGTGTTACAAGTATTTGCAGCGTGTTTCTGTATTTGGTTTTGTTGAGAGTATTTGCAGTGCATTTCTGTATTTGGTTGTGTTGTGCGCATTTGCAGCGCGTTTCTGTATTTGGTTCTGTTACGAGTATTTGCAGCGCGTTTCTCTATTTGATTGTCTTGTGAGTATTTGCAGCATGTTTCTGTATTTGGTCGTGTTGTGCGTATTTGCAGCGTGTTTCTGTATTTGGTTGTGTTATGAGCAATATGTTATTAAATACATACAAAATAAAATAAAAAATTGGCCTACCTTTTGAGACATTGAATTGTTTCCTTTGCATGAGGACAGGGGCCACAGGGCCTCCAAATGTTGACGTCCTTTAATCCAGCAATCCGGTGCTGCATTGATGGGGCTTTGATGGGGGTCTGAGAGAACAGATCGGTGGATTGAGGTTCTAGGGAGCGTTTGTGAGCCTGAGTCTAGGCTTGTGGATGGGATGTTGGCAGTGGTAGGTGGAGCCCGTATGGCCCGGTCCTGGGTGAGGATCGTGCGGATAGCCTCCTGCTTCAGCTGGCTAAAGTGAGTGGAGCAGACGCCACAGCGTCCGTCCACGTTGCCCCAGGCTTCTACAGTACTAGCAGGTGGTTTCATGCTCTCATAAAGATGAATGAAAACTTTGGGATCCTGAGGCACAGAAAAAGAGATGTTGTTGGTGACAGTTAACTCATCAGAACATATCAGAAACTGTATTTATAATCACATATATTTATACTTAAAGAAAATTTTAAATATATTAATATTTTAACATGATTTTAAAACCACAAACCCCTTTGGTGGCATGATAAATAATCCCCACTTTTATTTTAGTATAATTGCCATCATTAATATTTTGATTCAGTTTTGATTTGTATATTTTCCATTTCATTTTAATATCAGTTAAAGTTTTGTTGTGTTTTTGTAATTTATATATATATATATATATATATATAGTTTTTATTAATTTTATTTCATTTTTAGATTTTGTTGTTTTAGTACACCAATAAGTGAAACTAAATTACAATGAGATAAGTTGCCTTGGTAACTAGCTAAAATAAAACGTTTTATATTTCTTTTTATTTCAGTTAACGTTTATTTTATTTCAAGTAACAAAATAATTTTTTTATGGTTTTAATTTTAGTTTCAGTTTTAGTTAACTATAATAACCCTGATAATCCCATCTTATCTTTATCTTAAATAAAGTAATTGCTCAATACACCTTTAATATATTAAGAGATTTTGAGTTAACTAGAAAAAAAAGTAGTTCTCCACTAATCTGTTTCTCCCACCTCCAAATACTGAGACACATGGCATCCGCAAATGCATCTCTGTCCCAGCTGATCACATTATAGTGTCATTTACTTTATTGTTCTCAGTAGGAACTGAGTTTTCATATCCCACCCATTATACCCTATATTCCAGTGTAGTCAAGGCTAGACGAGTGTCACATGAATCACAGACCAACTGCAAAAGCTAATCGATTTAAATTCGTTTCAGGGGAAGGAAAAAAAACATGCGCCTCATATGTAATTGAAATATGAGACAGACTCTTACTGATGGGGTGGACACGCATGCAGCAGCTGAATTTGTTTGCAGCTCTAAATGCATAGAACTGCACGATAATCTTTTAAATGTATGCAAATTGATGATATAAAGAATACACTTTGGTATAAATATTTCCGTCAATTACTTGTTTTAACGCTTCCATTTTTAAGACATTGAAATGAGAGATGCACTTTTTGCACAAATGTCCTGTGTCGAATAACGTCTCTCTTTTCGTCCCAGTGGACTTGATGGAGTTGTATTCAGAGGGGTAACCGTTTAACGATTCTTTGGACCATTTTGACCGTAGAAGAGAGTTAGTGAGGGGTGTCGGGAGGGAGCCCGCGAACCCTGTCCAAGGTGCTGCATGGGAATCATCTGCTGAAGAGCCAGCGCCTTCGGGCGGGAGACGCTCCTTCTGCGCTGCGTGAGCCTTGAACACGGGACCCATTTGAACGTTGGTCATCTGTAAATAAATATATATACACGTAGAAATTACTTGTAGTTAATATTCAACTCAATATGAATCATATTTAGTCATAATGGAATACAGCTGACCTAACAAATGATGCATATTACTTACAGTCATATAGAAGTAGTCACCTTACCATGAACCGCTCACTGCCTGTTGTTTCACAGTATCCTGTTTGATTCTTCATATTCTGAATAAACAGAGGTTCAATAAAATTATCTCAACGCATCCTCCACAAGAAGTTTCCATTAATTAAAAAAAAAAAAAAAAAGCTGACTTCACTTGGAAAAGACTGAGACGCGATGTCCTCGTGGCACATGCAGTGATTTCGTTCTTTATGTTCTTGGAGAACTTGGTGATCCGGTGAGTAAAAGTAAATATTTGATTTCTGTTTACGCAAAAAGTCCTTGAATTAAATAATTCCTCGCGAGCCGTTCTGTAAATTGCCGTTGTTTTTAATGCCCATTATTAAGTTTTAGCTTTCTTTAGGGAAACTGTGCAAGCAAGGTATAAACGATAAAAAAGCTTTTCAAATCCATCCTTGGGTTGTTGTTGCATTTTGTCTTCATCTTTTTTGTTCTCCGTTACAGTACCACCCACTTGTCATTGCTCTAAGGAATTGAGATCAGAAACACACTGCTGTGGTTACCGTATTAGTGAGCTCGATCATGAGATAGCGCCACCCATCGACTAACATTTACATCTGCAAACGGCAGTGCTGCCCACATGCGGATTTATTCCAAGTCACTGCAAAGATTGAAAATTAGTGTTTTTAGTGTATTTGTATCATCACAGCACAATACATTTGAATGACTGTGTGTGATGAAAAATTATAATTGTGTAGCTATTAGGATGTGTTGTGAATTCTGAGATAAAATACTTTTCTGTTTTGTTAAAGGTGCATAAATCAATCGTTTTTCAACAATTAAAGGGGTCATATGACGCGATTTCAATTTTTCCTTTCTCTTTGGAGTGTTACAAGCTCTTGGTGCATAAAGAAGATCTGTAAAGTTGCAAAGACTAAAGTCTCAAATCCAAAGAGATATTCTTTATAAAAGTTAAGAGTCAGCCACGCCTACCTAAAACGGCTCGTTCTAACACGCCCCCACATACCTACGCCAGGATGTGGGAAGATTTGCATAACGCCCCCCAAATGTTCATGCAAATTAATTGTTGAAAAACTATTGATTGTCATACATGCAGCATCATATTTGAACATATATATATATGACTATAGTATTCAACTAAACACTTTGATTTTAACTTTTTTTTTTTTTTTGCACAGCCAGCAATTATTTATTTGAAGTAATTCCCGGTTAAAAGAACAGGTAGGTTTAACAGGTTTACCTATATATTTACCTAGGTAAATATTGAGAGGCTTATGATAAACATGGGGGGGGGGATTTTATAAAAATACAATTCATAAGAGTGACATTTAGAAAGGTCATTATATCGTTTATATGTGTATGGGTGCTCATTAGAGGATTTCACAATGCCAGTAAATCACTTGAATTCACGAGCGAAAATGAATAGACTCTGTGGTCGTAAGCATCTAGGAGGGTCATTACGGTTGAACACGCCCATTTTCCTCGATGCTGTTGCATTGGGAGGGGTCTAGCAACCAAGGCGCCATTGAATTGTTTTGCCGGTGGACAGACGCAGAATCACCGCGGCTGTGCGCAATTCAGAGAAGTAAAGCGGCCGTCGGCTCTCCCTGGATTGCAATATTCTAACGATCGAATCTTTTAGTTTTTTTATAGTCCATCTACACTAAAACGACAACATGAGTGAAATCAACGTAAAAAAGCTTAAGGTGAACGAGTTGAAGGACGAGCTGAAGAAGCGCCAGCTTTCCGACAAGGGATTGAAGGCCGAGCTTATGGAGCGGCTGCAGGCCGCGCTCGATGCAGAGGCCCAGGCCGAAGAGGAAAAACCTGCCGCGGCAGAAGCAACAGAAGAAAACGAGGCCGAGGGAAACGGTGTTGCAGTCGAAAAAAAAGACATGGGTGAAGAAGAGCCGGAGGGCGAGAGCATGGAGGCCGAGGAGCAAAATGGAGACGGGGGTGATGCCGCTGTTGTGGGTGATGGTCAGGACGATGAAATGGGCGAAGAGGAGGAGGATGGGGACGCCGGCGTGGAAATGGACAAAGCCCTCGATGGAGAAGAAGAGGAGGAGGACGACGAAGACGACGAGATCATAGACAGAATCGACGATGAAGATGGTGAGCCTGAATCTCATCCATTAAAGGGTGAGGTTTTTTGTGTTGAAACGCCGGGAGTATCGTGTTCACGTGGGCTTTGAAGCCGGTGAGATCATAGTTTAGCATAGGTGGCTAACGGCTAACCGGTGGCTATTGTGTAGATAGCTAAAGTGCTAATCAGGTAGTTTACGCGCTAGTTTGTGGTTTAGAGTTTAAGTTGAGTTGGTGAGTTTAGGATTTTGAGGGTTTCTTTGTTTTAAGCCGTGTTAGCAAAGCTAGTCTAATCACCCGCGCGAGCCTTTTGTCTTTAGGAGTTTGTTGCTATTGTTTATATTTTGATACGGTTAAAGGTATATTTTAAACTCTAATTTACAATTAACGGCTTTCTATGCTTTATCGCGTTGTTTTGGGCGGTTTAGCTAGTTTCAGAAACCGCGATTTGGCTGGCGAGAGAATGGCCTCGCTGCATGCTATGAGGCGGCTCGCCCTCGTGTGGACGTTGCTATGCAGAAAACCTTACGGCAGACAATGAACAAGTGCGGGGTATAGTGAAATTAATGCATTCTCAGCGGGTGATAGTGTTAGGAGTAACGTTACTATAAAACGGCGAAAAATTATTAAAAAAAAAAAGCATCGAAAGAAAGGGACATATATTAGTTTCGGTTCAGGTTGCTAGAAGGCGCCATCTACTTCCGTGCAAGGTCAGTTCAGGATACTACGTGTTGACGGTGTTCGCCGGTTATTTGTTGTCAAAGATGTGAGCATTGGCTGGTAAGCCAGCTATAGTATATACATATATGAAAACACGTATTGTTTTTTTGACTGTGAATGCATTACATTTTAGAGAAAAGCACTTTAAAACACAATTAAACAAAAGTAATTGCACCCACCCTCGTTTTTGTCTGGTCTGGTTTATGCAGTCAGATCAGTGCTTGCATTTTAAATCCTGAATGCCATAATGACATAACCAAGCAAAATATTCTGTCTGATCAGAGGTGGTCGGTTCATTTTGTAACTCTGGTTGAGTCCGAGCACTCCTGTAGTGTGGGCCACCCTTAAAACCCAAGGTCCAACACGTCCGGGCATTTCATTACTGTTTGTTTTATTTTCAAAGGGGATGCGGACAAAGACATCAGTGCTGATCAGAAGAATAAGAAGGGTGTTAAGAGACGCCGGGAGGAACATGGAAGGGGCTACTTTGAATTTATTGAAGAAAGCAAATACAGCCGGTAAGGATGGGAGCAATGGCCTTCATTATCCCCGAAGTGCCACTTTTAATATATATATATATATATATATTATATATTGGCTTTAAGTGCCAATGCCTTACCTAGAAAAATACAACCCTCATCTACCTCTTAACTAATATAAAACTTTGTTGAGGGTCATTCCTGGCTAATACAAAACACCTTACCTTCAGTAATCATGAAACTACACTTCAAAGAGTGCTCTGATGGAAAAACAGTATATGTTGTTGTTAAACACACACACACTCACACTGTTAGGCTGACTGTATGCGCGTGTGGCAAATCAGGCAGTGAACAAAGCAATGACGATAGCATGAGATGCGGCTTCTGTCATGGCAGGGGAGGGCCAGTGACGTAGAGTTTATATCGCAAAGTGTATCATGGCGTAATGGGGTGGTTAAGTAATGGTAATGAAGCAAATTGTTGTTTAAATCTTCATACGTTCCTTCGTCGTTTGTATTTGTATTTTTTTTATTTTTCTTGAGTGTTTTTCCCCCCCTTTTTCTTTGTATAATTCTTAAAGGTTAAATGTTATATTTTACATGTTTATTTTTATATTGTAGCAATGCATTTTTGTGTATTTGGAAAAACTATAAGGAACTGTAATAACTTTTCCTTTTAAAGTCTGTTTCATTCATGGTCAGCGGGTAAGTACAAACATTGGCAGTTTTTAACATTGCATAAAGAAAAGGAAATATGTTTGTTTACATCTATAATGCATGTTCTTTCTCCAAGTGTGTGGTGCTCAATTGCTGATTGAATACATTTATACATTTTCTGACTTTTGTGCTGCTCACCTATAGTGAACCAGTGTTTGGATTAAAAAAATGTCTCAGTCTGCTTATATTCTTTTAGAACATGGAACAAAAATGTATGTATTTTTTTAATGTATCGGAATTCCAAATAGAGGATCTCAAGCATGAAAGTCCCCAATTATTATTTGAACTAAAGAAATTGTAGCAATATCTGTACCAGTTAGTAATGATGTTTATTGACGGGATGTCCCGGGCAGGGTCATCACTTGAATTAATGTGGGCTGATGGAACATTATAATGGTGGCAACCCCCATACACTTAAGACTTGTAAAGACTTGTTTAATGGCCCCCCTCGTTACAGGGCGTGAGATGACATCTGTGACATGCTGTTGGTTACTTCAGAAAACAATTTGACAAGATTAAACCTCCAGATGTCCCTAAAAACTATTGTTGAGAGTTTGTGCTGTATATAGAAAATGATAACTATATCTGATTGTAGTCTGTATAAGCAAGAATAGGCCAAAACAGCTGTGAGAACTTGAGATTCCAGAAAGATCTGCATGTAGATATAAATATATAAATACCCTGAGACCTTTTTAGACTATGACCCAATAAATTGGAAAGTGCAACAGTTTCTTCATAGCACTACATTGATGCTTTCTATGTCACCAACAAGTTTTCTTCCAGGCTTCATCGTGGGGTAAACTGGTAAGCAATGATGGCAAATTTTGCATTCACAATTGTGAATTCACAAAACAGTATAAGATGTTTTGAGCAGCCATTGTAAGGTAATGTAAATCAACTGTTGCTGTGGCTATGAGGAAGGACCTCACCTGGACATGGGAAGCATGCCAGTCCATCACAGTCCTGCTTCACTCATGGCATTAATGGCTTATTAACTCTTATTTCAGGTCCAAGTCTCCCCTGCCACCTTTGGAGGAAGAAGATGAAGAGTTTGATGACACCCTGGTCTGCCTGGATCCCTGTGAG